TCACCTGATCTTTGTGGAAGTGGCACTTGTGTCAACACTCCAGGAAGCTTTGAGTGTCAATGCTTTGAGGGCTATGAAAGTGGATTTATGATGATGAAAAACTGTATGGGTGAGTGGTGGAGCTTTTGTAGGATTTTTTTTTTTTTTTTTTTGCAGCTTTAAATTCTCCACTTGCGTTGGACTGGGAATTTTTACAGTTGGGGTACAACAATTCTTTATCTACATATTTATGTACTATGCTATACTATACTACACTACACTACACTATATTATATTACAGGGGTCCCCAACCCCTGGGCCGCAGTGTACTACCAAAACTTCAGCCGTTCGGAACCAGACAGCGGAAGTGGTGGATGAGTGCACATGTGCGCATTCCCACTTGCATGAGCAGAGTGCGAGCATGTGCACTCATGCTCCATTAATGCAAGCAGTGGGCACACATGTCCACCACTTGTGTAAATGGAGTTGCACGTGTACCTGCTGCTCTCATAGACCCATTCCGTCTCCTCCCCCCACCACACTTGATGGTCCACACAGTCAGAAAGTTTAGGGAACTCATTATGTTATGTTACATTATGTTACATTACATTATTCTACTATACTATAATACACTATACTATATTTTACATGCATTTTAATCCTGATTGCCATTTAATTATTTTAGTTTGCTTTAGTGATGTGTGCTATTTTTATTTTGCATTTTTATTTGATGATTTGGTATACTATTCAGAGTCATGATATCCCATAATAGTACAAATAAGTGCTATGGGACTAATGGAAGCCACTAACACTGAATATAAAAATAAAACTCTTTCTCTTTCAGGACAACTATCAATACATTAAACTAAATAGTAGTCTAAATTACAGAACAAGGTTTTTCAGCAATAACAAAAGATCACATACTACATGGGTCTTAGCACTTATTTTGCTGCTTATAGTCTAGAACAAATCTCTAAAAAATATGGTGGGACATGATCCTTTTGCACATATTAGAATATATATAAGAACTTCAGAAGTAGCAGTAAAAGGAAATCTTAATATATTGGGTTTTAAAAGTGTAAGTAGGATTTTGTAAGCACCAAATTACCCTTATTCCTGTAATATCATTATTTTGTTGCTTTGCCATATACACTGAGAGCTTCTGCACTGTAGACAAATTCCTTGTGTGTCTAATCACACTTGGCCAAATAAAGTATTCTATTATTATTACAAAATGTAGAAGAGATAAGTTGCCATTGTTTTTATAAACAGGGTCTTAGAATGTAATTGTTTCTTGTTGCTTCCATGTCCATTTAACATGTCCTTTAAAATCTTTTCAGACATAGATGAATGTGAACGTAACCCCCTTCTTTGTAGAGGTGGGAAATGCTTGAATACTGAAGGAAGCTTTCAGTGTGACTGTCCTCTTGGCCATGAATTGTCTTCATCACGTGAAGAATGTGTGGGTAAGTTTCATGCATTAATGAATAAATTGTTCTGTGAATAAATCATCTATGGTGTTGCAATAGCATAATATAAATTCATCCACTAATGCATTAAAAATTGTTTTACCTGGAACATTTGGATTACCTATATACCCTACATACTGTTTCCTTTTGGAGAAAGGAGTCTTACGCAAATTTCAGAATAGAGAAAACAAATAACAAACAAAGAAAATAAAGGCAAGATATGAAAGAAAATAAACTAACTAAATCTAGCTTACGCTAACACCATTCACTGTAATTTTCAACAATTTCCTATCCTTGATGCCATTCTTTGCTTCCACCAAATGCACCACCAATTCATAGGCTATCTTTATAAACATTATTTTGTAATAGTTATTAAACCCACCATCCAGTTACAACTGGTGAAGTTTTTTGGGTGAGAAGTGAAATGTTGTTTTCTTCTTCCTCGAGGAAAAAACCCGTCCAGTTGCCCTTTGAAAAAACACCTTTGAGATAAGCATTCCATACACTCTCATACATTCTTTTATTTCCATTATGTACTGCTTTTACCCATAATTTATATGAGGATTAGTCTCAATTTTATTTTTTAAAAATAATGACATATTAAGAAGGGTTATAGATATTCAAATTGAAAGGGATTGGAAAAGGAAACTAGGCATTGTTTTGTAGACATTCGCTTGAAAAGCTTACAATATGGGTAAACATTTTCTAATTGGAGCCAAGGACACTTCACATTATCACTGTGTATGATCTCATAAACATTGATAAAGATGACAAGACTGCAAATAAACAAATCTATATAGCTGCTCATGTACAAAAATAAATTCTGAGTGGTAGACAAAATAAAAAGATTTCTGATTTCTCCACTTTGAAAACTATAATTGGTTGACCTTTAAGATAGTTCACATTGAGGTACGTAAGATACAGTAAGGTAAAGATTTATTTTTCCTTCATTATCTTGAACACATTTTTAATTTGGAAAAAAGGTACTTGTTGCTTCTGTTGTTTTTGTGAACACTTAAGCTATTATTATTTGCTTTTACATTCTTGAAGTATCTGTATGTATATTATTTTCTGATTTTCTTAACTTCATAGCAGAACCCCCTTTCATAATATTGCTAGATTTTTGCCTGTTAAAAACCTGAAAAAAAGACAAGAGCTGAAACAAGCAAATTTTCTTTTTCAGATATCAATGAATGTTCTCTTAGCGATAACTTATGTAGAAATGGAAAATGTGTGAATGTGATTGGAATGTATCAGTGTTCCTGTAATCCTGGGTACCAGGCAACTCCAGATAAGCAAGGCTGCATCGGTGAGTACTAGAAATGTTAACACCTGTCAGTTTTATAATATTTTTTAAATGTGTTCTTTTCAGACTTTCAACTTCATAAAAAACTAGCTCGATACCTGTGCTTCGCTACGAAACTATGTTGTCGGGCTTAGTTTTTGGGGAGGAAAATAAGGGGGGGGGGGGAAATCTGCCTCTGCCTACCAGCATCCATTGGTATTCTTCAGGCTAGCATCCTGTCAGTGTGTGAGAGAGTTGAGGGCTGTTTGGAAACTGAAAGAGTATTTGCTGTGTGAGCAAGGAGACAGCAAGGAACCTGAATGTGGCTTAGGTCAATTGTTCTGTACTAAAGCTGCTTAGTGCTGTGGAACCAAGCAGATTTTTTTTCAGGTGAGGAGTAGAACTCCTTAGCATCAGAGCGTGTTAATAATAATATACAAAATACTAATGCTCTGATATTCATTTCGAAAAATCCTGTCTTAGTGAGCACCTAGAAGCCAAGAGGAACATACGTGCCAAATTTCAAGTTTGTAGGTTTTACGGTTCTGGAGATTTTGTAATGATGCATGAGTGGTATTTCACTTTTATATATATAGATAAGATGTAGCTTCAAGTTCTATAAAGCTGTGCCACCCTGAGTACACCTCAGCACAAAAATTACACTCTGTTACTTTTGTTAGTTTAGCTTTTGGAAATTTTAGTTTAGTTTGATAGGTTACATCACAAAATATTGACTCCTAAAAGCACTTAAGTCCTTCTATTGATAGAGATAGCAAAGAAATGTGAAAACTGGGAAATAAAAATGCAGCTATGAGAAACAAAAAAGTGATGCTTTATAAGATACATGTCTCATCTGTCCCAAATATACTCTCCTAGATATTGATGAGTGCATGATTATGAATGGAGGCTGTGACACTCACTGCAGTAATTCAGAAGGCAGCTATGAATGTAGTTGCAATGATGGATATGCTCTGATGCCAGATATGAGGAGTTGTGCAGGTAAGATAAAGAGGTTTGACTTTATTTCTTATACTGCATCCACAAGGAGAACAATGAGAAAACATTTAGCTTCAACAATAAAATTAGTACGAATTATTATTCTAACAAAAATGTATGGTTCCAGTAAAGTACAACAAAGTAGCAGTATACACCAAATATCAGGTTAAAAAATAAAAATGCAGAAAGGAAGGACAATCTCTGCAAATCTTTGCAATCTTTGCCAAACTCACATGTATAGCATCAAATGGTGCTTTATTTTAAAAAAAAAACATGAATAGATCTCTCTCCTATCTTTCTCTTAAAACCTGTAAATTAGGAAATATTTTAAACTTCTGAAAAGGAAAATTTGTTTAATATCTAAGCTAATAGTTTCCTCACAGATTTTAGTCTGAGCATTAGAACTATTCATTTTCAACAAGAAACTCATAAGGAAATTTTTTTTAGGCATCAGAAAAATGTACTGAAATATCAGGGGAAAGCAAGTCAGGAATGAAAATAGCCCATGGGTTAAATGCATAGGCAGCCACAACTTCAGCTGCTTTTATAAAAATGACAAAAACAATGTCACACAGTCGATGTGCAAGTTCTGCCCCTTTGGAACATTCATATAACATAAAAATACATATGTAGAGTGGCAAGATTTTGGCATGGTGCTGCTGGATTAGTGATTGCTTCATAAAAGGAATAATTTTTATAGTGTAAGAATCACTCCAGATTAGCCTAGCCAGACCTGGGCAAAGGTTTTCAGATCCCTCGATATTAGAATAAAATAGAAATGATGGTAAATGTTTTACAGTAGTTCAAAGGAATAAGTAAATCCTACGGCAAAGTCACTATGCAGAAATGTAGGCAAGGCAGCAAGTTGGGAAAATAAAATATGCCTGGAAGCAAGAGGATTTTGGGCATTTTAATACAGTTAAAGACTACAAAATGTTGGCATCCTACAGTTATGCTGAAAAAAATGTGTGCCCCAACAAATATTTCATAGCAGATTATATAATGATGCATTGGAACATTTTTTCCAGTTTTATTACTGGAAAATGAAAGATCAAATGTGATGATATTGAGTGGTTTTTTTTTTCAGATATTGATGAATGTGACAGTAACCCAGATATCTGTGATGGTGGACAGTGCATTAACATTCCAGGAGAATATCGTTGTCTTTGTTATGATGGATTCATGGCTTCTGTTGATATGAAAATATGCATTGGTATGTGAGATAGTTATAGATTTCAGAGGTTCCCTTTTATAAGATAATGTTATAAAATGGTAACATACAAATAGGGGAAATGAATTAGATTTTTTTTCCTGTGCTTAAATGTAGTTTTAGTTAAGATAGAGATTTAATTTCAGCTTGTGAAAATGCTGGGAATATAATATATCTTGACTTTATTTGAACCTATGATATTCTAACAAACTAATTTTGGATGGGAAGATGGCATATATGTTAAATTGATTCATTGCTGGTCAGAATTTTCTTGAATGGTTGCTCATCAAATTGAATAAAGATATCAAATGGAATAGCATAAAATGTAGTACTCAACCTAGTATATTTAACCTTTTTATTTATAATTTGAATGAAAAAGCAGAGGAATTGCTCATCAGATTTGAAATTCACACAACACTTAGTGAGATGACTAATACTTAGGAGACATATATAAAAAATATGCTGAAAAGATGCTTCAAGGGGTGTTTTGCTCTAACCTTCATGAAATAAAAGCACCCATTTTATTCCATACCAGGCATGATAATAACATTATTGAAATATGTTTGGGAATTGAAATTGATCAGAAGCTGAATTTGGGGCTATTGTAAATTGTGGTGTAAAAGGGCAATGCAATCTTAGATTGCAACAATACAAATAAAGTTTCCAGTTCTCATGAAGAAATAGTTATGATACAGTATTGCTCATACTCCATTTTGACAGAGAGCTGTTCAGATGCCAAATTTAAAAAAGATTCAAAAAAGCTAGCATATGTTTAGTAACATTGTGGTAATAATGTACCTGGTCAAGCTTAGCCTTGATGTATGATAGTACTTTTCAGGTAACTAAAGGGTTGTTTCAATCATCATTCCAAAGAGAAAAAAAAAATAAAGGTCCTGGGTCTTAAGGTAGTATATGTGGATAAATATTTAGAAAATCATCCAACATTAAGATGGCCAAAAAGAATAGGATCATGTTCCCTTCTCCAATGTATTCAAGCAGAGGCTGGACAGTCATGTTGGAGATAAAATGAAGACCCAGATTGTTAGGGGTAATATGCTGACTCTGTAAAACTGCTTAGAGAGGGCTGTAAAACACTGTGAAGCAGTGTTGTTGTTGTTAGTTGTGAAGTCGTGTCTGACCCATCACGACCCCATGGACAACATTCCTCCAGGCCTTCCTATTTTCTACCATCCCCCGGAGTGCATTTAAGCTCACGCCAACTGCTTCAGTAACTCCATCCAGCCACCTCATTGTCTGCCATCCCCTTTTTCTTTTGCCCACAATCGTTCCCAGGACTAGGCTGTTCTCCAGTGAGTCCTTCCTTCTCATTAGGTGGCCGTATTTGAGTCTGAAGCAGTATATAAGTCTAAGTACTATTGCTATTGCTATACTTTATAATTTGAATCTCTGTAGTAAGCAGCAGAATGCACTTGTTGGTTTAAATGTCGTCTTCCAATTCTATAATTCTGCATGGTATTAAATAATATATTTAAGTAATTTATTAATCTATAACAATTCTTTGATTTTGCTAATCAAACTCTTTTAAATGTTAGCCAAAATGTAGAAGACATTTTACTTTTTTATACAGATGTGAATGAATGCGATCTAAATTCGAACATTTGCATGTTTGGAGAATGTGAGAACACCAAAGGATCCTTCATTTGTCATTGCCAGCTGGGTTATTCTGTCAAGAAGGGAACCACTGGATGCACAGGTATGATACTACAATACTATTTTTAAAAAACAAACACAAACAAACTTAGATTTGCCTCCGTGGAACATTTTTCATAGTTAATGATTTGGGCTTCCTTCTCATGCTACTAAAAAGGGGGAATTCTGCAGATAAGTGGATGTTTTCAGGTGGAAGAGGTTATGCTGGTGAAGCATAGTGTGAGCATGACTGATCCTAGATGGGGGAGGGTGTACAAGTGGCTCATACAGTGCCATGCGACTGGGCCAGGGCAGTGAGTAATGCTGGGTGGGTGGGGGGGGGTGCAAGTAACTTGCTGGGGTGACTTGTAACTTTCCCTGCCAGTTTCCCCATTCACTTTGCTTGAATGAAGCTAGCATGGCAAATCACAAATTCAGTCACATGCCCAGGGTGTGTGTGTGTGTGTGTGTGCTGTAACTTTTGTAAGTATGAGCCAACTGCCAACTACCCAGATTATAACTTTGAAGGGTTGCTAATAAGCCATCAACTGATGACTACCTGTAGCTGAATTTGAAATCCCAGCACTTGAAATTCTTGTACATTGTTTTCTTTAAAAGCAAATGCATGCTCATCAGAACAATATTATAAGGAATTTATGATTTCCACATGCTTGTTTCTCACCTAATTTCCATAGATATGATGACAGCAGTAGAAGTCAGATGAATGTAAAATGCTTTCTATGAAATTTGCACAGCAGTTTCTTTCTTTACCTTTAATTCATCCTTTCTTGCATGTAATTCAAGACACGTGATTTTTAGTTTGTTTTGGATGGTTTTTTTGTATTTGATTTATTAATATTTTTATTGGAATTAAATTGTACCTCTTCTGTCATATCAGGAACTCCAAGAAAATGTGACACTGAGAGGTGTGGCAGGTTTTCTTTTCATGTTTTATTGGTTCTTTTATATATTTTGATACTTTTCTATAATCAATTGCTTACAATTGCCTATGTCACTGTATTCCTTTCTTAGGTTTATGAACTTAATTTATATTTAAATTTATATTAAATCCATGTTTTGATTTATAGGAATTGTTTACAGTTATTGTATCAGTTGCAGATGTTATAAAAAGAGAAATAATCATGGTATTTAAAATATGTGGTACATTAAAGCCATTATCATTATTACCAACCTAGCTAACACTTAACAAGTTAGTTAAAAGTGTCAATGTTTTAATGTTTAATGTTTGTTTGTTTGTTTAGATGTGGATGAATGTGAGATTGGTGCCCACAACTGTGACATGCATGGTCTGTGTTTCAATGCTCCGGGAAGCTTCACATGTAGCTGTAAGGAAGGATGGATTGGAAATGGAATTAAATGTATAGGTGAGTAAAGATAAATTGATATGGTTGTTTGCCTCATAAAAAGGCAAATGTAAGTTATGTGTTCATTTTAAAATTGATTCTATAGGTTGATCAATAAGATAACTAGCTAACTGACACCACAGTAAAAAAAACCAGTTGTATATATATTATGGGGAAATGGATCTAAAAGAATTTCAACAAATTTCAGATAGAATCTCTCTTCTCCATATAGGCTAAATCAAATTCTTCCATTTTGCATATGGATATATTGGTTATTTTGAGAGAAAACTTTATAAACTTATCATTTAAAATTGTATATTTGTCAGGATTTCCTACTTGAAAAAATAATTTCAGACAACTGCTGCAAGAAGAATTACCTTCACTGTCAGTTGTAAATTAATTCCCAATTCCCAATATTGCTTAGGCTGTGTATGCAAAAATTAAAATGTAGCTCTGAGAATTTCAGTAAACTAACCCCATTAGCACCCCACCCCCAAGATATGAATGAATTATATAGTATCTTCTCTCCAATTTCAGATGGTCTTTTGATTCCAAATCTTCCTGTCGTCACCAGTATTTTAAAATATACATCTGTATATTTCATTGTTATTAACTATTCAAATATAACCATTATCAGGATAGTTTCAGATGAACGCAGTGAAACTTGTGTGATCTCTAGAGTTTCCTGAGAGGGTACCACCTTGTGGGATCATAACTACTCTCATAGTTCACCAAATGGTTTTATGGCCTTTTTAGAAGAACTGAGATAGCATTTAACCAATTCATCAATTTTCTGAAGTTTCAGTAATAAATATCAAGTTAAACTTTTTGCTTTTTCAAGAGAATTATATCATAATGATTGAAGCCAGTACTAATAGTCTTTAAGCCAACTTCTGCTAGCTATTTGCTTCTGTAAAGCCAAATAATGGTTACTATTAATATGTTTATGATTTTTCTCCTTCTTATTTGCTTTAATAGATCTTGATGAGTGCTCTAATGGAACACACCAATGTAGCATAAATGCTCAGTGTGTGAATGCTCCTGGGTCATATCATTGCACCTGTGCAGAAGGATTTACTGGAGATGGATTTATTTGTTCAGGTGAGAGAAAGTTTAAACATATTTTATGAAAGAATTATATGTAATTTAGAAGTGGAATTCAGAACTTCATGGGACAATGGATTGGTTCAGCATTTACTTTTATGTGAACCTGAATATGGAGTTTCATCAAAATCCTAAATCTTCTCATATATCATTTTGAAATACAGATTGTTTTGAAAATGGTGTATATATTCCTTGGAAAATACATTTTTTCTACTAATAAATTTAAGAAATAGTAAACAAAATGAATTTCTAATCTATAAATGCTTAATGCTGTAACATTTCCAATTCAATAGATATTGATGAATGTGCAGAAAATATTAATCTTTGTGACAATGGACAATGTCTTAATATTCCTGGTGGATACCGTTGTGAGTGTGAGATGGGCTTCACTTCAACTTCCAATAGCCGAACTTGTCAAGGTAATTCTAATCTCATTTTGAGTATCTAGATTGTGACTGAGCAGTTTGGGCTTGTTGGTCGGAAAGCCGATAGTCCAGATTCAAGACTCGAGTGTCGCATGATGGGATGAGCGCTTGTTCTCACCCTAGCTCCTGCCAACCTAGCAATTTGAAAGCATTCAAATACGGGTAGCTAAATAGATACCACTTCGATGGGAAGGTAAGAGTGCTTTGTGACATCATGTTGGCTGCATGACCGCAGAAATGTCTTTGGACAGCGCTGGCTCAATGGCCCTTGAAACGGAGATGACCACTGCCCCTATAGTCAGCAACAACTAGTGGAGTAAAATCCACAGGGACTCCCCCCCCCCTTTTGTGTGTGGAGAATTGGGATCAAATATGAGGAGGTAAATTCCAAATACTAGCAGTTTTTGTATGGTGCAGAATACACACCACAGGATACACCATATAAAGCTAGCTATTCTTCTCAGGCAAAATGACTTTGTTTAGATGAAGATTTGCACTAGAAGTTTTTATGGCTTTGCACAAATTGTTGCATTGAACAGTGGATTGACTATTTTTGGCAATTAACAAACAACATGTAGAAAAAAATGTTCTGGTTATAACGTATGTGTAGGGAAATATATTAATAGGGATTTTAGAGAAGTAAACATAAGAATTTTATATTTGTGGTAATATATTTTTCAGTAGATTTCAAAGTAAAATGAATGATTTAATTTAGTGACATGGCTGTGGTCTCTCATGGTTCAGATATATCATATCCACCATGTTTATCTCTACTGTGATATTTTAAACTTATTATTGTAGCTCCAGTTGTATTATTGTGTTTATTGCAGTCTTTATTTTAACACTGTTCTTAATTATGATTTTATCAGTTATTTTAGTATACTGTTTAAATTATTTCATTTTTTTATTTTAGATGTTTTGAATGGAAAACAATATGCAACATGGATACAATGTGATATGCAAATATTTTCAAATAATCTCCTTTAAATGTTCCCATCATATACAAATATTGTATTCTAAGATACATACATTCTTTTCTGTAGATCCAATCTGGCTTGGTCACTGGGAGCAGAGGTTTTGTCTTTCAAGCTTTCGGACTAGGGCCGGAGCCATCTTTAAGGAACTTCTCTCTGGCAGTGTGTGGAGTTTTCTAAGGATAGGCTCTAGCATAAGTCCGAAAACTTGGAAGACAAAATCTCTGGTCCTGCTGACTGACCCAGATTAGATTCTGCAACATTATCCTGGGATACATATATTTGCCTTCATTCGTGACATTCTCTCCTTACTGTATAATAAAATTAAAAGAGCCAACTTCCTCTCAGTAAACCACCATCAGGTTTGCATTTGATGAATTATTAGGAAATAAATTATTGAGTGTATGTATTGTATTTATACATAGTGACTAATCATTTTGGGTATTATCCTTTGTTTCAGATATTGATGAATGTGCCTTTCAGAATATATGTGTGTTTGGTACTTGCAATAACTTACCTGGCATGTTTCACTGTATTTGTGATGATGGCTATGAACTGGACAGAACTGGAGGAAATTGTACAGGTAAAAAAATATGTCTCTGGGTGGGGTAGGTGTATATATGGAAGTATGTGTATAATCAATCCCCTTATGTAAAGAGGTCAAAACAGGAACATTACTGACACAAAAAGAAAGCTATTATCAATGGACTACTTTCATTAATAATATTTTTTTCATATGGACTGTCAGCAAATATTTCCAAAAATACAAAATTAGATATTCTTCTTATGAACAGATTAGGTGAAAGCTGTAATTATAAACAATCTTCAAAAGAAAAAAACCAGCATAAAAAAGTTATATGTAATATATATATGTTATGTCCCACCTTCTAAAATAAACAGTTAAGGCTGAAAGCAGCAGTCCTTGTAAAGAAAGGCAGCAAACAGGAAAATGTTATGTCCCACCTTTTAAAGTAAACAGATAAGGCTGAAAGCAACAGTCCTTGTAAAGAAAGGCAGCAAACAGGAATTTTCACAGATAGCTCCAATAAGTAAAAGTTCCAACGAACTAAATCCAAGACTCAACAAGATTCTTCAGATCAAAATCCTTCACAAAATAATTCCAATAAGTAGAAGTTCCAACGAATTAAATCCAAATCCCAACAAGATATTTCAGATCAAAATCCTCCAAACTGTGCTCTTCAGTTCTCCTTGCAAATAGACACTTTGTTCCGGACAAAGTGCAAAGTCATATCTCTCCCTTTATAGAGTAACTAATTAGTCTAATTGCTGGTCTGCTCTCCTACTGTATCCTCGTTGGTTCCTCCTTGTCAGGAGACGTCTTGTCCTGACATCTACCCAGCAATCATCCAAATTATCATCTTCTTCACCTGAAGATATCATTGGTTCCTCATTATCACCCGTTCCCGGCTGACCACCTAATTGAAGGGTGGA